AAACAAAGCTTTATGTTACAGACAGTGTCATATTACACTTTCAGATGAAGCTTTACAGATACCCTCATATTACACTTTCAGATGAAGCTTTACAGATACCCTCATATTACACTTTCAGATGAAGCTTTACAGATACCCTCACATTACACTTTCAGATGAAGCTTTACAGATACCCTCATATTACACTTTCAGATGAAGCTTTACAGATACCCTCATATTACACTTTCAAACGAAGCTTTACAGATACCCTCATATTACACTTTCAAACAAAGCTTTACAATGTAGATACTGTAACGTTACACTTTCAGAGCTAATTTTCCAAATAGTCAACGATAAAATCCCTGTAATCCGAGCGCCTTCTTCTTCAGGGGCAAACTACAAATAGTCATATACTTTCGGATGAAGCGTTATGCAACAGATACTGTCATATTACACTTTCAGGGTTAAGAGTACAGATACTGGTAGCTTACACTTTAAAGATTAAAATGTATGCTACAGATAACGTCATATTACACTTTAAAGGCAGAATGTTTCACTGATAAAAACATTTTGAAAATCAAAACTCTAAAATTTTGAAATTTGAATTGTATGAGCATACGATTCTTTATTGATTGAAATATTTCCAAATTTTGTGTCGTGATATTCTGAAAAATCGTACGCTCATTTTACAGGCGAGATCTCCTTTAGAATATAAACTGGAAAACTAAAAATGAGATTCAACATTTTTAGTTTTTATATTCGTGAACTTTTTCATGTATTCTATGATTGGTTAAATAAATTATCGTTTTTCTATATAATTTTATTGATGTTAGAACCACTTTTGAGAACAGATATTCCTCTTTAAGTACAATGAAATATTGCCTACAAAAGTAATTATTCAACTCTATATCATCATGAAATAAATAGTTAAGTTGAATTTGTAATACAATGAAAGAAGGTTTTTGGTGGTATTTTCTGAAAGTATTCTTTCTTACGCCTTTAGTCATGATGAGGCTTACTGTATTTCGATTGTTTAAAAATGTGTGATGATGAATGAGATACCTGCTCATGAAGAATTACAAGAAATATGAAAATTTATGTGTTCAGGCAAACAAATAATTTGCAAAGTGCCTTCAATGTGACTTCCTGAATATCATGAACTACATAGTGATTCATAATAGGGATCGCAAGGAATTGCACAAAACCCTAATAGAATGTTCGGGCAAAAAGTACCCTAAACTGTAAAGATTCAGTTCAAACAACACTTTAAAACCTTTACTATTGACTGCTAAGGCTGTACGCATATAAAAATGTACAAGAAAACACGCATGTTAGACTTACAAGGAATAGAAAATCCGCTCAAAACAGCTCGTTTGTAATTCTTATTATTATTCTCTTGCCAGCTTACAACACAAATGGCTTGATATATTGCACCCAAACCTTTTGTAAAATACTAAATAAGGTACTGTGAAGGTCGTAGTGGTACTGAAAAGTCGATTTGTTTCTTTTATATTTTACATAAACTAAAAAACATTGAAATTCTATTGTAAACGATATTATTATTATTACCCCTAGAAGTTAGCTTTCTTACAAACATGTGGTGTTCCTGATGCTTAAGTATAGGATGAAACGGGAATTACCAGCTAATAACAGATGAACATTAAATTACTGTAACATGTAGATACTCAATGCTTTGTACACTATACAATCGAAGCAAACCCATAAATTATGTATAAAGTGAAGGAGTACAAAAAATCAATACACATATTAAATTTTATCACACACATTCGTAGAATAATTACTTTAAAATACACGAAGGTTTATTTAAAGCGATGTTTTAGACGTATATGTATTATTTGAAAAGGCTGCTTTTCTACTGGTAAAATTTTATACTCGCTTAGTGGGGTTGTGTCTTAGTCTAGGCATATATTTGTCCATTGCTATGCATTATACATAGAGAATTTAGTTGAACAGAAACTATAAATGTTCACTATATTCTAAAGCAAATCTCCATGACAATCCCCAGCTGCAGCTTAACAGTTTACATCTCAAACTAATGTGATCAAATTGTCAGTAGCTATAGTAAATCATCATGAACCGTATCAGCTAGCTACTAGCTATGTTTGTTATCATTACAATATATAAAGTTAGCTACCATATCAAGTAATCCTTTGCCAATAAAAAAAGCCAGCAAACAAAATAAATAACAAATTGGGAATTTAAAACTCTGCAAACAGGGATAGTAAAAAAATAAGGAAACAAGGCTGGAAATATTTAAGTAACTTAGATAAGAATAAAACAGACGTTTGAATAGGTTTCTAATAAAAGTAGAATGAGTTTTACAACGTGGAAGATGTGGTCTGTTGCTGAAAGTAGTGATGACATCCGGTAGACTGTGTAGCAGAATATGTACACAACATAAAAAGCGTGAAAAACTAAAATTAGAACAAAACATTATTTAAAAAATTGATAGCTTGAAAAAAGTTTAAGAAGAGTAAATAAACACTATAATTCCTTGTAGAATAGGACTGGATAATATCGTATGTTTAACTCACCGAAATGAAATAGAAAAGTCCAATTAAAATAACAAAGTGATTTCTGACACTTCATTGAAGTATTCTATGATTGCACATTGTTGAACACAAAATGAACATTAGTGAAAAACACTAAATAATATAAAATGTTACAATTTATGTTCATATGTCGAGTAATTACGAGCACAGATTAATCCTCATAATTACCCTCCACTCTGAGCATATCGCAAAACTATACTCTATATGGATAGCATGTAACAATCTTTTGCAAGTAACAATGGAAGATCCTACAATCGTCTGCACGTAAAAATGAAAGATCCTAAGTTCTTCTACGTCTTCTTAAAATAGCTTTCTATCTTTGTATAAGATTTTATTTGCTTAAAAATCGTCTGTAATTCGCATAATAGTTTGTTTTTATCTCGTAACTGCTTGATCAAAGCAGACTGAATCTTTATACCGATAAGTTTAGGTCAGTCGATACGTTTGTGGTGACCATTCTCGCGTAACTCATTTGTACAAATGAATTAACTGAGGAAGTTAATTAATAAGGAATTAAATGAGGAAGAAAGAAGTGAAACAAAACGTTTAAACTCCACATTTCACTAGTCACGTAACTATATAACTCTGGTTAAACAGGCATTTAAACTGTACTTTCACTGTTGCTTAATTGTAAAAATATATTTAAACTAGAGAATTAAACCCTATTTTTCACTGGTAACTTAACTACATACCTCTAGATAAACAGAACATTTAAATCGTACTTTCACTGTTGCTTAAGTACACAACTGTAGTAAGACAGGGCATTAAACCCTATATTCGCTGTTGCTTAAGTACACAACTGTAGTAAGACAGAGCTTTAAACCCTACTTTCACTGTTGCTTAAGTACACAAATGTAGTAAGACAGGGCATTAAACCCTACTTTCACTGTTGCTTAAGTACACAAATGTAGTAAGACAGGGCATTAAACCCTACTTTCACTGCTGCTTAAGTACACAAATGTAGTAAGACAGGGCATTTAAATCGTACTCTCACTGTTGCTTAAGTACACAAGTGTAGTAAGACAGGACATTAAAACCCAATTTTTCACTGGTAACTTAAATACATACCTTTAGATAAACAGCACATTTGAACCGTAATTTTTGCTGGTTATTTAATTATATAATCTAGAAAAACAGGACATCTAAACCGTACTTTTTGCTGGTTATTTAATTATATAATCTAGAAAAACAGGACATCTAAACCGTAATTTTTGCTGGTTATTTAATTATATAATCTAGAAAAACAGGACATCTAAACCCTACTTTTCACTTTATATTTATAATTCAAAAATGAGGTTTGTAACAAACTATTATTTAATTTCAAACAACTTCCGATCAGAGCAAGCTATC